GCGGGGGTCGCGGGTGGGCTAAACTCTCGAGCGTGCGCGTGCCAATCGCCTAGATCCGCGCAGAGAGGGACGATATTATACCGTGTTATTGTACGTGTGTATGTGTGTGTGTGTGTCTGTGTGTGCACGTCTACGTATATTCTTGCGAGTGTTTTTATTGACGTTCCGGATATAGGTAGAGTCCCATAGAGAAATCGAACTTCCGTAGATAATATAGACGGGAACCGAACGCGGACTTACGAAATCAATTTTTTCTCGAAATAGCCACAAATACATATTGTTATATCATTCTGCTCGTTGTTTTTGTGCACGTGCTTGCGGAATATTGTTGACACGCGTATCTTTTGATATACCTACCTCTTATAGTTTTTACTCTTTGTCTTTGTAGTCTTCACACCCGAACTTCGGTAAATTTAATAATATAACCTTCTCTATCTGAATACACACGTTATATTAAACACGCTCGCGTGTGTGTGTAATACATCTTACTATCGATAAAATTGCTCTGGGCATTTTGCCCAGAAACGCGTATACAAGACGGGCCCGCAGTACGGCGGCAAGCTGATCCTGTCACGGACGGCCGTGGATTCTTCGTGGCAAAGGCGCCAAGAACTGTCGCTGCATCCGGCGACGGCGACGGCTGCAGAAACGGAAGACTGGCACGGCAGGTCGATGCAGTCCGACAAGGGTTACAGTGCTCAGGTTAGGACGAAGTATAAAGGGCCGGCCGCGGCAGGGCTATTTATGTTTACACTTACTTGCAGACCTACCTGCAGTTATTGTCGGTAATTGGGTTTAATACATAACCCGACCAGAGAGTGATGGTGATTTGAGGTGGACGAGGCAAACAGGTCATGCAGTTTCCCCTCTCTATAAGACCAAAATAGTATGATAGTTATTATCTGTAGACTGTAGGACTGTAGGACCAAAAGCGCATGATGGTTATTGTTTTTAGGATCAGTTAACGATTTGAAAACCTACCCAAGAAAAATATAGTTTTTGATTCGCGCATTTTGATAAGTCATTTGATTTTTCACTTGGTATTTATTCTATTGAAATGAATTTCGTCCCTTACTGCAATACTGCTGTCTGCTGTGAAATAATATAAAAGTGTTAAACAATTGTAAAATGAAACTAAGTTTATTGATGAATTTGGGTAGGTAAATATTTTTTTTCTATTTATTATTGATATATTGAATTTGTTTATTAATTATTTTGTTTTAAATATATTTTTTTGATCTAGGTACTTACTTACTTGTTGATTGTAATTAACAATAACAATTTATAAAACAAAATACCAAAGTGTTAAATAAATAATACTATACCTATGTATTTACCCAATAAATATGTTTTGATGTTAAAAATAATTAAAAAAAATAAATTTTATAATATTATATCTTGTTTGTTCGATTTTAGAACTTATATAGGTAATTAATAGTATGTTTTGTTTTAACAGGTGATCGCTTTGATATGTGGTCTAATTGTAATTGTTCTGATGCTACTGACATTGACATCCACTGATTGGTTATTGTCAGCCGGTTGGCGTCAAGGTTTGTTTTCTCATTGCATTGCGGTGAATGCTCCTACACCATTACCATTTAATGTGCCTGATAACGGTCCAGATTGTTATCCAACACGTGAAGTTGGTATGTATCAGGTTTCATTTTGTTCACCTATCCAATTTTAACTAATTGTTTGTAATAAATTAGGATACATAAGAGTAGCTGCAGCTTTGTGTATAGTTACTTTGGTCACAGACATAGTGGCTACTCTTTTAACGGGGCTTGGGTTGAGAAGCAAAGATCAACGGACCAAATACAAATTCTACAGAGTAGCTGTTTACGTTATGTTACTTGCATGTATGTTTATTGTATACCTTTAATAATCTTAATAACTGTGTCTTATAATCCATTGTTATTAACTCTAGTATGTTTTGTTTACAGTATTGTCCTTATTGATAGCGTTGATTGTGTATCCAGTATGTTTTGCGGCTGAATTAAATTTAGGGAACCGCACTGTATGGGAGTTTGGATGGGCCTATGGCGTTGGATGGGGTGCCGGAATATTTTTGTTCGGTGCTGTTGTGTTGCTGTTATGCAACAAAGAATCGGAAGAAATCTACTATAAAGAACGTAAAGTGACATCGTCCGCCTAGTGTGCGGCGCCCCTGCCTGACGTAGTACTTTAGTGACCTTCCGCCGTTGGTGGGACGACGGGCAGGGTGATCTTATCATTCTTATGGTAAGACAGTCATTACCATGATTTACTAACTAACACGTCATACATGTCAAAAATCATCTTACATCATTGGTTTTTGACAGTAAATAACTATTCTGGTGGGGGAATATTTGCTTTGCGCACATTATACTATATAAAATTGTAAAAGATTCTTTCAGTAATCATAATCAAATTAGCATTAGGTTATTTTTTTTTTATAGATAGTTGAATGATGAATTTTTTTCATATTTTAACCATAATAACTTGAGATTTTTGTGTATCAAGTGAAAAATTAAGATAGATTTTTATATTAACTTAATAATTATTAACATGTGATTGTGGTAGTTTATTCAAATTATCAACATTATTGTTTATGACTTACACTTATGAGTATCATATAAATTAAATTTACTTAAAAATTAAAACATTTCTCATTGTTCCAAATTAGCAATGAGTTTGACCTATAATTTCTATTATTAATTAAAGTTTAAAAATTGTATTATAGTTATTAGTAAACATACCGATAACACCATGTAAAAAGAATACTACTTTTGTGTAACACGAGTTCTTTTATAATGTATTATCTGATGAAGTGTAATAAGTAATAACATGTTCATATCTAATATTACCTATTGTTAAAATATTTAAATTTAGTAGTAGCAAAAACAAATGTAAATATTATAATATTTTGTATATCATACTATGTTCCGGCTTGTGTCTTACACAAGCAGTAGCCAAAGAGAGTTGACCCTGCCAAAGACAAAAAATGAACAAAAAACTTCCTGTTTAATTAACATTCCTATATGCATATAATTTCTATATTTTGTTGATTGTATATAGTACGTTGTCACCCTTACCTTGTTAAAGACTATCCCGTTATATATTTACCAGTGTTTATTTTCCCGTTGATTTTTTTATACAAAGCATTTTATTAATATATTATTGTATTCTTGTCTATTATTATAATTTTTATTAAATATAAATTAGTAACACACAATAGATTTTATATTAGTGTATGTATAACAATTATTTCATATTTATGAGAAATGATAATCTCCAACATAATAATATGCTATTATTTAAAGTTATTTTTAACTATGTATATTAAGGATCTTTGTTAAAATTACATATCTTTAAATGAGCTGTTTTTATAGTGCTCCTAATTTATTTTACCCTTAAGATTTACAGATCAGCCGTCCATCCTAATATATCTCTTCCTTTAAAAAATGTATTTTATGTTATTTGCACATTTTGTTACAATTTATTTGCTATGGTTCTATTATACATAATTGTAGGAACATTAATTTTTGTTTTCATTTACTAAATTAGCTGTATCAAATAATATTTTTAGGACATATTATATTATTCTTTCTTATAATGTACACAATTGCATTTTTCTTCCAAATGAATGTTGTAAGTATTAAAATAAATATAACATTAACTGCAATTTTTAATTTCAAAGATTTATGTTCGTACCTTTTAATTATAGTAAAAGTTCAATTTTCCTAATATTATTTTGTCAGTGTATTGTCATAAAAACATAGGGGTCATTTAACACCTTGAATTTTCACCAACAATTAAAGTAAAGCTTGGATGCAGTAGAGCGTGTTCTAGCCACCCTTAACCAGCCTGGTTAAATTTGATTAGACCAATCAGGACACTAGGACAGGCAGCCGGTCTGCCCTGATAATTGTGGCATTAATAGACTAACCTAACCAGGATAAGCTGGATATCATAAGCTTTACCGGGAATTGACTACAAAAGACTTTAGTGACAGTCATATTATTCACTTAAATAGTAATTACCGGAACCCAAAAATCAAATTATTGTAAAAGGACAATTTTTTTTTACACATTTTGACAAAATTGAATATGTAAACAAACATCAATGATTTTAGCTATAAAAAATATATTCGAGGGACTTGAAATGTTTTAGTTTATAGATATTATTATATTTTACTATACACAATGACATTTTCAAAATATTTATACTCATTTTAAGCTATTGCAGTTGCAGGATTTTTCCTTGAGTGAGCCAATTATGTGTTTACACCATGAACTAAGATAATATGAACTGGAAACAATACTCATTGCCACATATACGGCCAGAAATTCCGTAGAGGGGAATTAGGAGGTTACAGTGCCACTAGCATAGGCACAATTTGGCCTACAAGTTTACTTTATCCTGTGCCTAATAATTCTCATAGTCCTATACATTTATTTAATCTTTTATCGATGCTCCTATGAGTCTTATGTATTAACGTTTATAGATTTATGCTAAATGCAAACCCCTTATAATAAAATAATAATTATAATAATTCACCACCAGATTCATGGTGATCTGTCAATTTCCTTTGACAAAATCATGGATACGCGCCATCATGCTGTGGTTGGATATTATTCTTGGTGAAATCCATACCAAAATTTATCTTTAAAATTAATACCACAAATGTTTTGAAAATGTCTAAAGAATACTCAGTATTGAAGAGACAATAATAAATCAATAAATTAAAAATTACACAATACAAATCAGGTCGGTACTAGTTTATCAAATCCATGTGCCATAACTTTGACAAATAATTTCTTTTTTTTTTTAATGTCTTACACTTATATTTGTAATGACTACAATGATACAATGGTAGCCAAAATGTTCTTTTTGTTTATGATAAATAATATTATTTTGAATGAAAACCAAATCACTCTCTTTTGAGTTTGGGTAAAAAAGGTAGGTAATTTAGACGAAAATATGTACGTCCAATCCTTTACCTAAAACCACGCTCAAAGTTGAAATTGAAGCATTTTTATTCAATTGAAAGCTGACGACAGTCGACAGATAGAAAAAATGAACATACCGTTGTAAAATTAATACATATTTTATCGCTCCGCTCCGAATCTAGAACTATAATAGGTACAACGATATTTAATTTTAAATATGAAACTTTAATTGATTCTTATGTTTAATAATAATAATAATTTGTTATAATTTACTATATGGGTATAATTACTTAGCTTACATGGTTTTATAATTATTATATGCATACAAATTTATAAACTAAATTATTTTATAATATAGGAGGTAGGTACTTAGTAAAGATGATACCTCATACGTGTGTGTATGACGTATGTGTTTGGTACTGTGGTGAGACCTCTCTTAAAAAATCATTTGTACGCTGTACTCGTCTGTTTGTTAGGTTTAAACTTAATCTATTAAAATATATAATATTAATATATACAATAAAACATCCAAGTCATTGTTGTGTGGAATATGTCAATAAATTATTATAACATGTAGCAGGTGACGTAATTAATGCACATCGAGAAGTAAATATATACACAATAGTCAATAAGTAATAATTAATAATATAATAGCAATTTAATTTTTGTAGTAATTCTGATTAATATATGACTAGTAAAATTATTATTAACCTTAAAAGTAGGTATTCATTATGTTTAGTAATTATCATAAATATTCTCCTACTATTATACTATTAAAAATACATTAAGGTTTATTAATAAAATGTAAAAATTATACATGTTACTAGTTAACATGAAATTATTTATAAATAGTGTACCTATATGTGTGACTATTCTTTTGAAACTAATATGGAATAGCATTTAAAAAAAAAAACTCAATTATAATCAAAATATAAATCGTGGTCAAAGGCAAAAATTAAAATAAAGATAATAGTGATAAAACAGTTTTAAGTTTAATATAGTTGTTGATAAAAAATAAAAAAATAATTATAAATAGTTATAACTATTTAATTTTCATTACACAATCATTAAACTTTAACATCGTGTAATTGATTATTGGTTGAAGTTTTTCTACATGTAGAGGACATTTCAACTGCATCTTTATTTTTGGTATTGGAACTAGTTCTAGAGATAGAGCTATTGGTGGTTCTAGTAGATGCAGTAGTAGATGCCTTAAAAAGTTGAAATCTTGGACAAAGTTTTTTGTTTAATAAATTTAAAACACGTTTTTTACATACAAAAATTAAAAAAATCAACACTCCTTGCAAAGAATTCCCGATGTCTGTGACGTACCACACTAGTTCAGAACCATTTGAACCTGACGCCCATGATATAATTTCTGCTAACCAATTTACACCCATGACGATGAATAATTTCAAATACAGCATAAATCTGAAATACAACATATTTCTGATTTCAAACATAATTTGTTCAATTAATTTAAGGAATTTAAATTATATTTGTATCTAATTCATTAAGTGAATATTGTCATAATTGAAGGTTAGGCAGCTCCATTTTTAGGGTAAATTGTAAACTCTCCCGATAGTAAACTCTCTCGGGTCTTTTCCAGGGGCGTCATTTGGGGGGGGGGAGGGTGTGCAACGACACCACTCACTTAAGACATGTTAACAATTGGCCCGCCATTAATACTCCAATTCGCCATTAAATTAAGTATTAAATTACCTATATATTATGATTTCATACATAGGTAATATAAATAAAAAAATTTTTTTTTCAAGTTCTTGTACATTTTTGGTTTATCAGGTTTATTGATTATACCTTATTTGCCTTTTTTTCAAATAATAGTGAAATGGCTTTAGCTGTTTGCTTTAATTGCTTAATAAGCTTTTAATTCTTTGAATTGCTAGCTATTTAAAAGTTGAATTAGTTGTTATGAGTTTCAATGAGAATTATAAAAAAGAAGGAAAGAATATTTTTTACATAGGTTTGCATATAGGTTACCTACATTTATATATATAAATATATTTTTTTTAATGGCCCGGTGAAATGTCAAAATTGGCCTGCCTAAAAGTTTGCATACCCAGAAAAAAATAATAAAATATTACAGTAATAAAATATTTAAATATTTAAATTACAAATACCGTTAGGTAATACAATTGGTAATAAAAATGTAAAATGATAATCATAATTGCTGCATTGTAGCCAATTCATAGTGTAGTAATAACATTTAAAGCAACTCAGGAGAGTTACACATTTACTTCAGGTGAACATAAAGACGACCCGTCAGAGTTAACACATTTCCTTCAGGTAATCATAATATTGACCCGAGGGAGTTGACTAGTTTTAAAAATCGGGAGTTTACCACCGTCCATTTTTCGTAAAAATCGAGTTTTAATTGAAATTGATAAGCAAAAAATTACAAGTTTAACTATACAAAAATAAGACAAATCCGACCACTCGTATAGGAAATATAATGTAACTGAGAGCTTTCTAAGGTTTTTTTTCTGCTGAAAAACCAGATAGCTCTGGATAGCTCCGTAAGTTGTTTGTGTTTCTTGAAAAGTTTTGAAAAATGGAGATGTCTGGATCTTGCACAGACCCTTTTAATTTCTATTACTATTAATACGACCATACAATTTATGGATACCTAATCTATTAACAATACAATTTTGTCGGTACAGTTTTCAGTAGGTATCTTCTTACCTTTGTTTTTCATGGTCCACATTCTTTTGGCTTTCAGATCCACTGAGTACTCTAGCATCCCGCATATGTTTCACAATCATTATTGCCGTGTGTATAAACATCAATAGATTACTAAATAATAGAATACCGATGGGGCCATAAAAATATAGCAGCGTGGCTGAATATGCTAAAATATAAATTTATAAATAGTTAAATAACAACATGTCTAAAAGTTTTTTAAATTAAAATGTTAACTCTATAGAGGTATATTTTAAATATATCGTAGTAATGCAATAAAGGGAATACCTAACTCATTTTTATTTTATTTTAATATGTGTTTGAAGAGCGTATGAATTTTTTTATGTCACGTTTATTTTTGTACTGTGTATTTTTTTTTTCTATATGTGTAGGTAAATTCAAATATTTTCTATTTAGGCTTACATAGTATAAATCCAAGGAAAAAGTGTTGATAGAATTTAGGGTTGGTTATAAAACATATTATTACAAAATATGGTAAAAACTTCATTGATCCTTTTTGAGTATTATACTTATCTCACTCATCATAATATAAATTACAAACTTTGGACTGTTTTTCTTTTTAGTATCAGTCATATTTGATGTACTTTATAGATTTTTAGGGCTAATATTTACTAATATGGTATTAACCCAATATAGATATTGAAATAATTAGACTATTTAAAATATATTAATTTCCCATAATAATTTATTATTTTAGACTGCGGACTGATATACCATACACTTATCTAAAGCCCACTCGTTTTGATAGTCGATTCTACAGATATAATATTTAATATAGGTAGATATACTTTGGTAATCGCTTGATTGAACACCACGCGTAAATAAATTATTTGTTAAAATCATTTTGCGTCAGAAAGAATTATTTGGATAATAATCCTACGTAAAAAACCAAAATTTTAGCATCAAAAGTAGATATTTTGTCATAACAATTTTATCTTTATTTTGACGATATCCCTAATACAAAAAAAAATATTATTCAAATTGGATAAACATAAAATTGATAGATTTAAACACAATAATAATTTTTTTTCGTATAGGTATATTAAAAAGAGTCGGTTCTCTTCTTTATAATAATTGTGGTGAACATTTGATATAAATTGTTTTATGGATAACTGAACAGTTTTATCGGTTTCTTCCCCACATAGAACCACTTTTTATTATAATTTTATAATAACGCAACCAATTTATGGTACTGATAAGTGATATGAGAGAATATGTTAAGTTACATTGAATTATTAGGTACTTTTCTTAAATTTCATTGAAATTGGCTGTATCGAACGCCTTAACAAGCAATATTGTGTGGGTATTCCCGTATTTAATTTATTTAAATTTCTCTTATTCTCTTTTTATAAACTAGCGCTAAAAATGTCATTATTGATTTCTTTACCTACGTCTATTATATAAGTAATAATCAACTTTGCAAGTATTCGAATGTACACTAATACGTATATAATTATTTTATAACATAAACGTAGTGTCGTTATTATCTATAGGGAAAGAAGGTAAATGAAATTTATTCCATTCATGTATGAATCAAAAACATTAATCAAAAAATATTTTTTTAAACTATTTTAAAAATCAATATACAAAATTACATTTATTTTGTACACGTGTAAAATTGCTTAACTAGAAAGCAACATAAAATATTAATATACAAGTAGTAATAGTGACAGACGTTCTTAAATAATATTATGTTTTAGTTATAATATCTTCTTTTGTCCAGAACTCGGGTTGATATAAATATAAATAACTCGTAACAAGTACTTACATGCAAACCAACAACTTTTAATTCCGAATTCTGGACGAATTGCATCCAGTGGTAAGTATTCCTCCATGCCAAATGTACATAATGAAATAAACGAGGTACATCCCCACGCATAGATGGAATAGATTATAAACTTTTTCGCTTCATGTTCTTGTATGTTTCCTCTTAATGGTCTAAATCCGCTAAAAATCGAATACGTAAATCAATAAAATTATTTCAACATTTTAATTTTTTTTTTTAATTGTAGTCAATTTAAATGTCTATACGTCATTAATATTATGTTTAGTACATACAAAGTATTATAATATATTATAATATTGATAAGATTTTAGAAAAAAAAGTTTTTCACAGTAATAAAATTACACTATTTACCTGGAAATGTAGTGCTTATTCAATATCAAATATAATATATTAAATGTTTTTATTTTACTTCTTATTCATAAATATTTTAAATTTTCGCTTTACCTCTATATTCAAACTAACACATTTAACTTATAATTGGTATATGTTACCATGAGAAAATAAATATTTTAAGAGGACACCGGTGCACATTTTTTTGACCCACACGCAATTTAGCAAATTTATGTTTAGTAGAACCAACTCTGTGTTATTACTTTACTTTAATATTACAGTAAATTCACCTATAGTTGAACTTTAAGTTCAAAGAATATTAGCTGTGTCATTACGTTGGCTTTTTCGAGAAATTAAAATTGTTATACGATTTAGAAGAATTTTTAATTATAATAAATTACACACTCATAAATTATGTAGAAATTAATATATCATAAAACAGCCAACGTAGCAACACAGACAATGTACTCAACTTAAAGTTAATAATATATTAATATGTGCATTTGCTAAAATATACTTAAAGTAACAACTTAGATACATAGGGTTGGTTCTGCTGAACGTAAATTTGATATGCGGCATGCGGGTCAGAGAGGGAAAACAAACAGTGCACTGACATCTTCCTAATACGAATTGTTTACAATACAACTATACATGTTGTGTTAATTAATTTTTTTTACAATTTTTAGGTGTATAATAATGTAGTAATGTAGTGTATAAATATTCAAGGACGTTGGGGGACGGGGTATGTCCCCTGCTATTATAGTATATAATACTCGTATAATGGCGGTAGCTCTAATATACCTACACGTTATTACCTTGTAATGTCATAATATAATACACTGTACTCTTTTTTATTGAACATGTTTACAATTTCAACTTTTGAGTTTTGAGTTTAGATAGAGCATATCCAATTAAATAGCCAATAACACGTATAATATTGAATACATTTTAATGAAAAATTATATATTTCTATGAAATCTATAAGCAATGGATAATGTAAAATAACTTTTTATACTTCATATCATATATAATAAATACAACTTTAGAAAACTAAAGTGATTGCGAATAACTTAATAATGCATATCAAATCAAAAATGTATTAACTGTTAATAGTTAATTCTGTTATATCATTAATTTATTTCATAACTAAAAATAAAATATTTTAATATTGTACACCGTACAATGCAGTACACTATATACTATTGTATTATTGTAATTTGTACAATTTTTATATACATACTACTTAAAAACGATTCACTAAATATACACTAATATTTATGAAAACAAGGTATAGGAACCATTTGGAAAATAAAAAGAGCATTTTGTCACATTTTCACTAAACCAGAGAAAATTGTTTTCATCACGAATAATACATTAATAGTGAATTATATATCTATACTTTAATAAAAATTATTATCAAAGGTAATTATTATAATATAAACACTAATATATACGTAAAGCTAAAAACTATATCCAAGTAGTATACGGCATCGTTGTTTCCACTGTCAAGGTTCTATACTTTTGGTCACTTGCCAACCTTACATGAATAAAATAATAAATAATGTGTACTTCTATAGGCTATAGTTATATCATTAATTATCGACGATCAAGAAAGTAAACATTTTTAACAAATAATACAAATATTGAATTTAGAATTAAAACTGAAAGTTCTAGGTTTTATATTATAAACTCAATTACATGAATTAATAAGTAAATAAAGATATTTAACTGGCCTAGAACCCTCCTTCCTACAAAAACTTCCATTTGTGTTTTATTTTTAATAATTTGTTATCTAGATTGTATTCATTGATAGTTAAAAACACAACCTACCGTATGTTCAATATTTTAAAAATATATTAAAGAATAGATCGATGTAGTCTGTGCAAGTCGCTATTACTGAATACGGCGAACTGCCAACTATATAAAATGTATTATCGCATATATTATCATAAATTAAAAACAAATTAATTTACAGTCATTATATTGAATGTTTAACAATCTGTGTAAAATATTACTTTTTTTAATAGAAATACAATAGTATATCTATAATGTCCGCTATATATCTTAATAATCATCATGCCTTGTATAGTTGAATATTGTTTTAAGATACATTTTTATTTAAAAAAAAGATAGGTCCCCTAATACTAAGACATTTTTTAACAGTGACAACTAAAATATTATCGAAGTTTGGTTGTCGATTATTTCAATTGTTTCAGTTACAGTAGTCCTATACAACTTCGTAGACAACCATACACGGCTACGCCTAAATCAAGAAAAGGATAATAATAAAGTATGATCATTTTACCACAATCAAGAGAAGTACCTACGACAAAATAATAGCTACATAAACAATAACAATAGTATATATATATATAGTAGAAGCGTATAGCTGACTAACTCTTAAATATATAATTTACCCGATTTATTTAGGTAGGTATCTAACATATTGTGTAGGTACCCATAAAATCTAAATAACGTATAAATATATAAACAAAGACGAGCAAAGATTATTTCCCCAGCTATTGTGTGAAATATTTTAGACTAGTATGGCAGAACCTACCACTCATTAAACAATATTTTATTTACCTGAAAGTCCACCACAAGTCGAAACACATAACATTAAGCCAGAAAAAACTTCCCAAAAAAGAAAATTGAACAATATATGCTGAAACAAAGAAAAACCACGAAATGTCATTAATATTATGTACATAGTGATATCACCAAGAAGCTCATCCACATTTTTCCCTAAAGTTATGAATTTAGTCAAATTCTGATTTCTGGAATTTTTAAATATAGGTATAATTTGACATTCTTGGGATTTGTTGTAGGTACCGACTACTATTAAGGAGTCCTGTGGTAATACAAACTTCTATAAATTATATAATATGTTGATAGATTTATATAAGTTACTAAAATATTCAAATCATCATCATAGCTTCAATATCTTTAAAGACAAATTATATGGACTTACTGCACAAAGTTAAATAAATCAATACTATTGGTTCTAATTTTGATTTTGATACTTCGAAATTTTCAGAAAAATTATCTGCCAAATAACGTACAATAGGTAGTAAAGGGGGTTTTTGTTTGAAAAATAAAACTCCACAGGACACTCCTCATAATTGTATTACAAATAATATCAAGGTTTGTAAAAAAAGTGGTATAAGTTTATTTAAAAGTTCCAAAATTCAGATTTTCAATAACTATTATTGAAGTAAATGAGGTTGAGTATATGATTGGTGAATCATCAAAATATATGCATTATTACAATATTGTATGTGATTAAATTAAACATTGTAAGTACAACTTAAATAATGGTTATTGTTAATTTCATTATTTCTGGAAATTATCTAATTCTGAATGTTTTTATTTTAAACTTGTTTATTCGATGTATCATTTTATCATTTGATTCGGTAATGGTCACTACTACACGAGTGTAGGAAGTGTACCAAAATTTAAGAGGAAAAATATGTATGGATTTGCGACCTTCCGAGTGCCAAAGGTTAACTTTATCTGTCTAATCATTAAATGTGGGTACATTTTATACACTTATCATATATCGGCGTAGACTGCAAGGATAAAACAAGAGAAACAGACAAAATAATGTATACATTTAAACCAAATTAATAACTAAATTAAAAACATTTTTTTTTCTATGTTGAACATATTGCAATATATAATTCTATAGATTATACAATTTTAATATTGAATTTTGCATTTTTCACATTTAAATTAGGTTTTAGACGGAAAACTGTACCGAGTTATGGTTTTATAGAGCTGGATTATTTGATTGTGATAGGCAGATACCGGCTCCGATAAGATAACAACTAACAACCAACAACTTTATACAGCTTTGTACAAAGCAACAATTTGCAAAAATCATCAGTCATTGCCCATTGGTGTCAACACAAGTATACGACTACTACCTACATCTCGTAAATCTTAAATGTAATTTTAAAACACAATTTCGGCGATAATTTATTGTTAATAAAAACCTTTAGGATTTTTATTAGATTTTTTTAATGTATACTTCATTGTTTGGATGAAATTTACTTAGTCCTAAAATAAAATACTAAGAAATTCATAAATAAATGCTTATGGAAACTTTTACTACACATTTACGAGAATATTTTTTTGTTTGTATTTATTGATATAATGAACGTAAATTTGGCCTATTTTAACTCAAGAACCAGAAATGTTTAGCTCTATATGCTTTAGTAATTTTATAATAACTCTTACGTAGTACAAATATCACATAATTGAAACTAAAATTGATTATTGTTATTTTTTACAGGTTAAAAGACCCATTTATTATATAATATATTATATTCGTTAAAATAAAATAAACAATTTATGTGAATTTTAAAAATAAACTGAAAATCATCTAATTGTTGTTAAACGGTTAGTTATGATGTGTACCGTGTATAAGACCTTGGTGTACATGGAGCTGTAAACTATTGTTTTCACACTAAAAATTATAATAGCCTTAACATTTTCACACCTTAATATTTAAGTTCCTGGAAAGCTACTATTTTCTGTCTGATTGGAGTTAAAAAAATTCATTTTCGAACTTAATTGTTTTCAAAAATATATTTTTCATCGAGATAATGTTAAAATAATGAGTTAGATTAAGGTTTTATCGATCGATGACCAATATTTAAGACTTTAGATTTAATACGTATCTATATAAACTGTATACTTTACATCATAAAATATATAACTGTGTGTATACATAAGTACATAACTATAACTGATAATATAGAACTTTGGTATAGAAGTTATTAAGTTAGTTTTGAGTACATTATTTCTAAGGTACTTATTGTAATTTAATTAATTTTTTAAGAATTCAAATTTTAATAGTTGTTATTTTTACATTTATTTTTAATTATCTTTTTGTATCAAATAGATACCTACAAAATATTTAAGTAAATAGTATTTATGATGCTTATGAATTTATGATATATAGGTATATAGGCATCTCATTGCTCATGGCATAACTTTGTACATGCATTTTTTTTAAATTAAAATATTAAAAACAAATACAAAGTAATAGTGCATTTTACCTAATTAATACATTTTTTTAAGTGGATTTTTCAGCCATACATGATACATTGCCGTCCAGTTCAGCGTAGGTACATGTTAGTCGGAGTATTATTTTATCACCATGTAACAGTTATTATTGCGTATTTGCGTGTTACTATTATATTGTATAATATTATTGTAGTTAGGTATGTATTTACTGGGTTTATTAGGGTTATGTTATTAGATAATAATGATAGTTTATTGTGTTTGCAGATAGCAGTATAATCAGTATATGTTGCTTGAAATAATTTTAATGAATAAATTAATTAATGTAGGTACATATTTACTGGTTATATTTATATGGTAAAATTCAAAATGTTGACATAAATATAAAAATATGTTGGCTTATTACGTAAACAAAGTGTGTCATAGATCATAAATTATAAAAAAATAAGAAGATTTACTTACCTAAAAAAATGCACCATTCTTGAATAACATTATCGGTAGTGAACTGAACGGTTATTAGACTGGTGTAGGCCACTAATAATGTTGCTACATGACACATTAGAGACTTTCCGTGCAAATTTCGTAAGTCTTTGATGAGCGCATAAACGAGGAACGTTGAAAACAAAAATGGTAATGATAGAAACATTCCGATTATATATAACATATTTCTGCCTAGTCCTTCGTTTGTCATTTGTTCCGGAGAACAAACAACTGGTAAGATTTGATAGTTGAAACTGGTAAATGTATCCAAACAAAATTTACCCGGTGGAGCAATAACAGATCCCGATTCATTCAGTAACCAGCCCGCTTTAGTTATACGGAAGTTATCTTTTTCTTCCACTAATGGATTCATGTGGTATTTGTTAGCACACGTCGGTTTTCCGTAGACTAAATGAAACAAGCCCGTCTCATGTGCATCAACCGTGCCGTTTTCATTAACATATGTTGGAACCTATAAAATAAACTAAATTAATTCTTAATTCTGGAAATGATATAATTTCTAACTCGTAAGTATAAATTAAAAAAAAAAACCATTTATTAACAATATATTAAGGCATCAGCGAGCAAGTAAATGTGCTGAACCGATGATGACCTATTGACCTAAATAGGTTATAGATTCAACCGGAAATGTGGCATTAGTGATGAGCATAACGATTGGATGTGCACTACATGTCTGAAGCAAAAATGAATAGTAATAACTTATTTGTATAATCCAGATGGTCGATGTAAAAAGAAACCCTTGATACGACTAAGCAAGCGTGGCCGTGTAATCAGGACTCGAGTTAGATAAGAGTAGTTCGAGAAGAGAACTCGGAAGATATGATGAATGATGGTATATTCAGAGAAGTAGAGAACAATGGGAAGACGTGGTAGTTGTCCTATATTAAGCCAAAACATTTTTTAAAAAAATAGTTCGGCATACCTTGATTTTTATAAACTATTGTTATGCATTACATACATTATTTTATAATATTTGAAGTACCTAGGTTTATCATATAGTCAATACCTACCAACAATACCCTGTATATATTTGACATATACATAAAAATATGTATAATATGCCTATAGTAAATAATAAAATACATAATCTTAAATAATATGTTTATTGCATTTCAACTGAAAACTTTGTTAGTTTTTATATACTAAATTCAAATCAATTTTGTGGATCTTTTGAAGGCAATTATAAAATTGATTTTGTTTCTTATGTTGTTTTGATTATTATAAAACTGTTTTTAGTGAGCAATAGTTTATAGGTACCTATAATTTTAAATAAATTAAACATTTAGTTTGATGAATATGTTAATCAGTGTTTACGTTTTGAATAGTATTACTTTATGACTTAAACTCAATTAATCTTGAAACAAAATTAATATTATGAATGAACATTAAGATATGTAATTACTAATTAGGTACGCAAATGATTTAGCAAAACTAATTTTACATATTATAGATTAGCTGATCTTTATTTTTATTCAAATTTGCTATATTATTAAATATTATTCATCAGTTCAGCACGTTCATTCTCTATTTTTACTACGTTAAACTATCTTGCTATTTCTCATAAATGATTTAAAAAACTCATGCAACACATTTCGCTTATCGCCCATACATAGCTAGTCGTAACTATAAAAAAACTAAATTTGCATATATATTGTTACTTCAGACTATATACTTATGAATTACGAGTTATGACTATTGTGTATAATTATATAATTATGTTTAAGTGTAGGTCATAGGTACAAATGTATCATAAACAAAACTATCCAGTATTTGAATCTGTGATCCAAAATTAAATTTAAATTAATTTCATGCATTGAAGAATTATGCATACCTAACTTGGAGAGATGAATCTCCAAAATGTGTTCACTATTATGATGCATATACAATCAAGATATTCTTGGTGAAAAAGTTATTTGAAAACTAATGGCCAGAGTTTATGTTTTGATAAAGAGCTTTGTTTCTGACTATAGTGATTATCATAATTCATTTGAATTAATTGAATACATGTATTACATGCATGTAATAGAATATTTGTATCTAACTAGGTATTTCGGTATTTGTATAATATTATGTTTTTTAGAAAATAAAAACAAACCAAGGACAGAATGATACGCAATTATTGAATTTTTAGTTTTTAGTTTTAATATTTATTTATTGTTCAGTTTTTAAAATGAGATTTGATACAAAAATGTTGCAGTGTAGTATATTTTTTATCTATGACAATTATAGTAGGTATTTGAGTACATTTCTGAGCTAAGACGATGCTATTGACGTGTAAAATATTACAAAGATAAGTATGGAAAACTAATGTGGGACAACGTCGTTATGAACCTTCCATACAGTACACATGTATAAATTGTATGCTGTATACCTCTATGGGTCAATGGTTAAAAATATTTTGAAGTGAATTTACACCTACACCATAAATATGATATGTAAACATACCTTTTAAATTTCACAAATTATATAATGTTAAGTCTTCTTAGTATAAATTGTTGGGCTTTAATACGGAATCACACCTACGTAAAATCTTCGACAAAAATGTCGAAACAGATTATTACGCATAGTTATAATGACAATATTGCTAGTATTCCTATTATTGCTAATGGTTTGCACGAAAATGCGATAACTTATATCTCCACAACATAATGGTTGCCAATAAAATGGTTTAATTCAATTTTTATCGTACAAGTGCAACAATTTCGCATGGCCGGATTATGATACGTATTATTTTATATTAGTCTTACTGTACAGTGTTTACACGTTCGTATCTATCTCTATTTTGTTGGAGATTCCCGTATTTACAAAACGAATGGATTTTCGCAATATTTTCGTTGGCGGGTCTAGACCGATTATTGATGATGATATTAATATAGTAATAGTATAATCATAATATCGCGCATCACATATATAGGTACACAATGAAAAATGAATGTGGGAAAACACGCCAATAATCTGAATGCGCAAAACGTAGAACGCCAAGCAAAACTGGTTTCGTTGACATTCGAGCGGCAGCGGAGTGCAGTCTAATACATTAATATTTAATATTATTGTACCGCAAAAAAATAATATCTTTTAGTCGACGGCCCTGCACTGCAGCAGTTGTTCTCCAACAACAAAACCGGACTGAGTAGCGGGTACGCCTGCTTGACGCTTGTACATAAATAATAATATTATAAATATAATTTAATATATTACACGGCACTTTGACTTTCTGTTGGAAGTTTCCTACACCGGGGACTATTCGACCATTCGGACTTACCCGGAAGTAATCAATTTCGGTCGGGAAAATGTAATATTTCCAAGTCGAGTAAAAATAGAAAGTTCTCAATATTATGTTATAACTATAACAGTCCGTCGGTCTAGCAAGCGGTCAGTAGTCCGCAATTTTGCAGACTTCAGTGGACGACCAACGCTCGTGTAGGATAGTTGGACCATTCGGTCTTCGTTCGGCACAGATACGGATGGTTCCAATTCGATGATCGACAAAATATGTTTTTTTTTGGGGGTTCAATTATTTATTTTCACTTTCCGATGATGTACGCTATTATACAGAGGCATAGAGCCATCTACGTTGGCACCGGGATCGACAAACATAATATGGAATCCTAAACGGTATTGGTTTCGTGACTCGGAAGGAGACGACATCGCTGCGACAACAACAGACATCTTACGGAAACTATTTAAGATATTTAAATAACTCGTATACCAAAAGCGACAACAACAACAACAACAAACAAACAAAATTCCGGATAGATTCTTATAAGTATGCTTAAAAATACGAAATTGCATTAGGTCGTCTAGCACAACAATAATTAACATCTCGACCACGGCTTAACCGGTTACTGCGCACCTACCTCGAACTTGATCGATTCGTTGAGTGGCAAGCATTTGAGTCCCACGAACACCAAGTTCGGCTCGCAGCACTTGCGCATGCACGGTCCCGTTTCGCACGTGCACAGGACGAAACCGCCGCCCGGGACCGGACGGTACGCGGCCGGCGGATACGCTTGTTCCGGTTCCCCGGCCCACAGCACGTCGTTCACCAGGTAGGCGTTTTCGGGCGCCGGTGTGGAAGCGTTCATCGGACACCGCTCGTCGGCAAAGGCCGCGGCCTGCAGAAGCACCACGACCAGCCACGCGAGCGGACGGCCCATCTCGTGGCGTTTCGACGGCCTGACGGGACGACTGATAGTAATAATAATAATAATAATAATAGTTGCACGAACCGGTCGCGGAAACGAGAACTGAAGACAAACAACGCGACGGAACAACGACGCTTGGCCGCGCGCACACGTGTCGAGCGGTCGTGACGCGTGCGATGCGACTGTTTAGTGTTTGGTGCGTCCGTCGAGTATTCGCTTGTTAGCTCGTTCGCCGCGCGTACTGCGGGCCGCGCCGAGGACGGAAACCGTTGGGCGCGCGTTTTTGCGCGATACGTGCCGCCGCTACGATAGCCGCACAAAGCGAAGCGCTTGTCTATTGGTTGTAAATCGTATGATTATCGTACAATAATTCAATATTATTGCGGCAAAGTACCAAATCATAATAATGTCCGCTCCGGGCTCGACGCATAATGCGACGATTGCGTAATGTTTGTATACAATGTCGCGATGCTATCCAAATTATTATATTCGTCCACCGCAGTGGCCTCCTTCCGCACTGATTACCGTAGTCTATCCGTAGCCAATATTTTATTTGTTCCCCGTGCGGCTGTTGGACGGGTACACCGCGACCGTCGCCGCGTCGTGACATTGTCGCGCGTTATCTCCTAACCGCCCCCACTCATCATCCGGTGAGATTATGTTTTTCTACAATAATCATTGTACGAGGTATTATTGTTCATAATGCAGTAATGTAGATACAGTAGAGTTTCGTATGAGGGGAGGGGATTTTAATGATATAGGTACGTAGAATTAAACACATGTTTTTTTGGAAGTCGAGAGATCACAACCACCAAAATTAGTACCACCTTCGCTCGATCATATTTTTAGTTAAACGTGTATTTAAAAAAAACAACTACATTTATTATTGGCACACATGACTACAGTAATATCCGAATGTCTGTCTTATTTAATAATTCGATAAGAAGTTTTTCTGGTTTATTAATGTAAATTTGATTTATGAACAGCATAATATGATTATAGTGAAACCAATAGATCAGTTGCAAACACTACAATTTAATTAAACTTGTATATTATGTTATTTATCAACATCATACTATAGTGATTCCAGTAATATAAAATCATAATACTTTTAATAAATATTTTATATTGCTCATACAGTATTATAAATACTTCAGACGCAGAGTTAAAAATCTAAGGTTAAGTCTCTATAGGTAGTAGGTAGTAGGTACTCTAAAGTCTCTTGAGTTAAGTTAGATAAAGAACCAGTATACTGCAGGGGCGGCAATTCAACTTTTTGAAACGTATGCTAAAAACTAGGGATGCCAAGTTATTATATTGTACGAAAGTTTTTACAAAAAATCTTTTAATTAGAATCATTATATTTTGAATTTTCCATCTAATAATCTAATATATTATTAATGTTGTATTATATTAGGTATACTATTAGTTACCTAATAATACTAATTTAGTACTTTTTTACTTAGTTCTTTTTTATAACTAGTTAGTTACATACTGTTTAAATTTAAATTTAAATATTTATATTATATATTTAAATAAAATCACATGGCCATGGTTTCCGATACTTTAGACAAATTAAAAAGAATATATTATATTAGTTTTGCCCAGCACAGAAAAATTACAGTCAGCCAAAATGCAATCTTGATCAATTTTAGGTATAGATACGTCATGAGCATATACTCCAACGCCTCAAATTATGCCCCTGGTATAAATTATTTTATATTAGCAATAGTTATCAAATATAGGGGCGAAGCGTACATGCGTAAGCACCGTCAGCACTGCTAACATTTGAAAAAAGATAAAAGAAAACATTTTTTTTTTATTAAAATTAAGTCAAATAATCAACTTATTAAAATATATCAGTTATTTTTAGAATGCTTGACATTTTTTATGGTTGCTTACACAGTTACACAATGCTACAGTTAAGGCCTTTTTTCAGTTAAAAAACAAGGAACGGGTGAGACTGTTTATCACAATATTGCCACCCGTTCCCGTATCGTTTATTCACCAGGAGAACATAAACAGTTATGCCGGTTAGGGCCTATTTGGGCCGCCTCGTCACCACTCATTACCCAACACCGTCGCACATCATTTATTTTCGTATTGCCTCATTGATACTCAACGTCGTGTAATGCAAATCGAAACTGTGAGCCTAGTGAAGTGATATATAGTAGAGCGCATTAGGAGGGGGCACTTATAACTGCACAATTTTCAAACATTTTTCAAAATCCATACACTACACTGTTTAGTTTATTTCACTATACAGACTAAGAGGTAGAAGGTAGATCATTGAACGCAAGTGTGGCGTGCGTCTGTACAGATCTACGTTTTTATTATGAACTTATTATTAAAAAATACTATCTAGTATCTAAACCGTTTGGATTAAGTATCATGTTGATGTGATGTGACTGACGATTTCACTAAAAAAACAGAAACAATTTGATGTATGAAAAAATGTTTTTATTATTTTTGTTTAAAAAAAAAAAAAGTAAAAATCATAACTAAATTAACTTGTGTATATAAGTGTGTTAATAGGAGGGGGAGGGGGCAAGTTAGTATGTACCACTGCTTACACTCATTCACATTCACTGCACCACTGATCAAATACGTTACGGAAACATAAGTTTGTTGCATTGGTACAGATAGAGCATTCATTGTTTTGTTTATCAAAATCCTCTATCAACTATTTCTATCAACTATCATCTACTTCGGTTTTCTTTGCCAAAATTTAAATGAATTTTTTTAATATTTCATCAAAAGTGTTGAAGACAAAACATTATTATATTGATATGATCTTCATCATAACTGTTTTCCTTTGTATTGAGAATGAATGCTTTACAATGTGATTTTCTTGCCAAAGTCTAAATTAATTTTTAAATGTTGCATCAACAATTTTTTAAAACAAAACAATAGGTTATATTTTGTAACATTGATACAATCTCCGCATCATTGCCATTTTGCTCAAGTTTAAAGAATGAAGCTTTACTAGTTAATAGTGAATTATCAATGTGTTTCCAACCCATTCGTCTATAGCTACGGAATAAACATCGATTCTCTGTGGAAACTAGCAATATATTTCCGTGTTATCAAATCGAATATTGGTAGCTAGTTGTTACTTGCTACTATAATGTAATACATTTTTAGAGAATCTATACCCAAGACTCACCTACCTGTTACATTTTCAGCTGAGCGTCTGGCACAGTATCATAATAGTCATAACTCATAACGTTGTGGCAAAATCGTATTTTTCGAAGAGTATCTTGGTTGGCCTATGGGCTATGGCCCACTATAAGTTGTATGCATTAAAATGTATATTGTGTGGGTTAAAATGGTGTGAAATGATCGCATTCTATTAAACGACGTATTCGTGGGAATCGTGGTTCCTCAGGTTCCCCCACCACGACACCCAATCCTCAGTATAATTTTAAAATAGAGATCAAACGATCGGTATGGTCAATGTTGACGACTTCTGTATTTTTTTTTAATATTTTTTTTATTTAATTCCTTCTTATGTACTCAGTTATCTATATCAATTAATTTATATTATTTATTGGTCTAGCATCGTATACTGGCTGTACTATTAATAAAATAAAATAAATAAAAGGCAAGGTTTGTGTGTGTGTGTGTGTGTGTGTGTCTGTGTGTCGTGTGTGTGATCCATAAGTTACAACCAAGTTTATAGCCCTCATGGTTTTGAAATTTGGTACACGGGTAATTTTATACCTGATGATATATGCAACTCAAAGTCAATTTTTAAAATTTTGCATTGAATTATTATTGGTTCACAAAAAAACAAAAAATTCTTTGTTCATAATTTAAGGTTGCCATTGCCTATCGGTTGCAGAAAATAAAATAGTAATTATAAATGTATAACTATAATTAATTTTAATTAATTTTATAATTTGTATAATCAATGAAAGTATAAAACAACCCAAATAACTGTGTTGAGAATCTGGGCAGTTTACATTTAACGGAGTTTAAGAAGGGGTAAGTCCAAAGACATTTTTTCGCCACAGGCAACGCCGCGCAGGATCAGCCAGTAAATCATAAATGTAAAATAATATTATAATTATATTAAACTCCAGACTGCAGTGGTGTAGAACGTGGGTAAAATACACAACAATAATTTCAAAAAAATCTAATTAAAAGATGAGTGAATTTCCTGGTGATTTATATGGTAAGCTTGAGTGGCCGACATACCTATAATTTTCTATAATTATTAATTATACGTCTCACGATCTATTATGTATCTCAATTTTATTTGTTACGCTCATTATGGTATTTATACATTCACTTTAACAGATTATGCGTCTTGTCGTTTACGAACATCGTTGTTGAAGTTATTGATTATTGTTTATTATTAATTTCGCCTTGGTTAATGCGCAACACGTGCATACTGGATACGTATTGTTTTTGTTTCTTAATTTAATTTTAATTTTACTTATGTTTATTTCGAGACGCGAGGAATACTTATACGATATAAATTTAAAAGCGTTTTGACATGCAGTGTTCGAGATATATTGGCAAAATAAACGTACTTAGCTGTTGGGCATGGTTCATTATTTGTACAAAAAACAGATTTTTTTTTTATTCTGTTATCCATTACGGATGTAATTCATAATTTATATCATTACATCACTCGATATAATTCATCGGGGAAGATATGCGTCGCACACTCCTTACGAGTTTTTAATATGTTTTTATTTGATATATTCTACGAAAATAATATTATTATATAAAAAAACATCAGTAGTATCTATTAATGTATTATAATTTCTAATGAGTTAGTTTTTTTAATTTCTCAATTAGTTTTTCTCTGTTAGTTGTTACTGTTACCTTGTTACATTACTTATTTGTATATATTCGGGTATTTCTAAGTCCTAACCACGCCGGGTCCTACGACTCACTACTTCATTATACTATTTACCATAACGCTGTGTACATATTAAACTAAGTACCTTTATCCACCCTATTTATCATACCTTATTCAATATTCAGGATTTAAATTCGCATTAATACTTAGGGTTTTTTTCGTTGAATGTCCATCACGTTTCATGTCGCTCGGTATTCCTACTCCATAAACATAGTGTTTACCATTAAACATTTCCATTTGTCCATTGTTTTATTATAATATTATAGTAATATAGTATTATTAATACTAATTTTTACGCTCACGGCCGATAGCGTTTAATGACGTATCTTCGTTTTTTCACTCGAATATATAATACACAATCCCTTTACTATTCACTCAGCTTAAAGTATAAACATTGTGTACAGTGTGGTTGTGTTAAAGACTAAAGTATAGGTCTGCAGATGGTATATGTATGGGAATTAACACGACTAGACCTATTATACGGTGGTCTGCAGTAACTCCTATATATGTATATGTTACGGGCAATGTGGAATACCGTGCAATGTAAACCACACATTTCTTTTTAACCAACTAATATTATTTTTTATTATTATTTTAAATTATAATCATTACCTACCTATTTCTATAG